GTTTTATCAGCATTGAGCTGCAAATAATTTTCAGCCATTCAGTGCTTTATAACACTTATGCAGTCCAGGATAATCTTAAAGGGCCCATATTATGCTTTTTCTGGTTTTATATGCTCTTTAGTGTGTTTTCCAAGTGTCCATGTTTAGGCACATCTATTGGCAAAAATTCAAAGTCCACGTAAACGCGGCTTCTCCTAGGTCCTCCTGTTAGCTGTGGCATTAGCCACATGTAACGCTTGGCTCATTGTGGCAAGCTCAGCAGCTCATGTTGCAGGCCCGTTAACTTCTGTGGCACACCCACAATATGCCGTAGCCTGCAGTAGCACAGTAGTGCTAAGGTGCTAATGTTTATGCTCCCCTCAGACGGAGCCAGTGGCTGCATTCCCAATATGGTAAAAGGGGCGGGACACTTCAGAGAATCGTGCTGAACGACTGGCCAATTACGGCAGAGCTGACCAGCCGACCAATCAGATCAGATTTGGCACACGTGGGGACTCTGAACGTGGGCACTTCAGAGCCTTAGAGAGAGAGTCAGAAGCGAGCCGGTGCATGGAGCGGCAGTACAAGAAAACAGACACTTTTTTCGAAGTTTAGCTATTGTGAACATACTTTAGTAGGTACATAGATTAAATATACAAACCCCAAAAAGGGCATAATATGACCTCTTTAATGTCACACTAGGGTTTAAAAGTGAAGAGGAGTTGTAAGTCATCTGCATATATTATATATCAAAACTGGCTATGATCTTTCCTAGGGGTAGCAGGTAAAGAGAGAAGAGCAAGGGCCCCAGGACAAAGCCCTGTGGTACCCCACATAACAGTGGAGAAGACTCAGAGACATGGTCACCAATACGTACTGAGAATGTTCTGTCAACAAAATAGGAAGAAAACCAAGCTAATGCTGTGCCTGAGATGCCCACCCACAATGGAAGAAGAGAAAGAGCAACATACACAGCTGAAATCATGTGTGGCTGGACATGGCCTCAAAGAGAGGGTAACGGTGCAGCACGCTATCAGCTGAGGGAACTTTGTCTCTGTCGGTTGTTCCAGAGATTGGACAGTGCACGCAACAGCTTCATGAGTCTAACAAAAAATGATTAACTATTTTAGTTACAGGATAAACACAACCATATTTTTTTTAATTAAAAAACACTAACCTGGAGCTAGGATCTCAAAAATAGTCCAAGGAGGACAGTTGTTAACATTTTAAACTTATTCAATGAATTCCTGATAACGATAAATCCCACAGTTCTCACATGTCCTGCACAATAGAGACACATCTGGGCATTTGAAGGAGAGATGACATTAAGTTAACCACGTTAATGACCACAAAGATTACATCCTTGTACTTTACAGAGGTGTGCATATTTAAAGACATGCTGGAAATGTTATTTCATGGTATTTTCCACATTTGTCTGTCAGTCAAGAGACTCTTACCTCACTTGATGGCACTGACCCCTAGTTTTCTGCTATTCATATAAGGGTACACTCTCCAAATGCACTGTTTTCAGGACAGCATAGACAGTTTGAATCAAAGGTTACCTCCAAGGAGTTCAAAATTGTTCATCACCAATGTACACCAGGGACAAGCCAGAAGCACAACCTTGAAATGTCTCACTTTCAGGATACTCATGACATCTGTCTTAATTTCACCAGGTTCTTCAGTGGTATTGTCTTGTTCCAATCTAAACAGGGGAACTAAACATGTTTTCTAATTACTTTCATACACAGATAAACAAACACACACGGTGGTTATTTCTCAGAGAATAGTTTTTTACAGACTTTAACTGACTTTACTAAACTTTTTTTTAACCAATTTAAACGGGTTTATAAGACACCCGACGTTCAGTTGCAGTGGTTAAACAGTTCATAACAGTGTTTCTCACAGGATTTCATGAAACTATGGTGGGGGGACACTGGGGGCGGCAGTAGCTCAGTCCATAGGGACTTCGGTTGGGAACTGGAGGGTCGCCGGTTCAAGGGTCGGTGCAGACCATAATATGGAAGTTGGTCTGGTAGCTGGAGAGGTGCAGGGCACTTCCCGAGCACTGCCGAGGTGCCCTTTAGCAAGGCACCGAACCCCCAACTTCTCTGGTGCGCTCTCTGCTTAGGAGCTTGTAGCAGCCCCACTCTGACATCTCTCCACCAATGCATGTCCACAGGTCCTGTTAGTGCATGCGTGTGATTCAGGCCTTTGTGTGTGAGAAGCATGTCCCTATAAATAACAGAGTGTAAACCCGAATTTCCCTCAGGGAAATTCTATATCAAATATCCTTTATTTTGATATAAAGGATATCAAAAAAAAATAAAAAATCAAATTAAACCCTCCAGGGGGGTCCGGGGGGCAGAGGAAAATTTGTACATTTTAAAGTTAAATGTATGAAAAATGTTGTTATCTTCTAACAATTTTGTGCTGTTGTAGTAATTATACACAAATTGACAAAACATAAAATCCAATGCACGTGGAAGTTAAATACATCTGGGCTTGGCCCATTGATGGAGACCCTCAAGCAGGCAGCCAGGTGCTCTCCTTGCAGAGAGATGGTGAGAGAGAGAGAGAGGTCAGATTTAAAAATAAAGTACACTTATGCTAAATGACAGCTAAATGAGTGTAAATAAAAAGTCACTTTGCCGCATGTTCTTTCTTCTCTTTTAATATTATTATCGCTCCTCTCCAGCTCCAGCCTCTTGTCCAAATGTGAATCATGTCTGTATAACATTATTATTATCTTGTAAAAATGTGACCTTAGCAGAGGGATGCTGGCTTTTATTTGATGACGTCATACTATTTGCTGCGCAAAAGCACATTTTATAAATTAATTGCAATGTTAGTATTAGCGGGGTGAAACTACAACGCTAGTTCCTCATATTTTTGACAACTGAAGCTACAGACCTATCACAGATCAGTGGGTGGGAACTCACTCCCAGAATCAAAACTTAACGTCCGCCATATTGCTTGGAATCTATGCTAACAGGCTCTATGGAGAAAGCTGATAATGCCGAAAAAATATAAATATAGTGGCGAGATGGCTGCTTCTGGTGTTGTGCATTCTGGGATTTGATGTCTTTCATCCACATGAGCCAAAAAGACACTTTCTGCCTTTTCTTGGCCAAGAAGGCACCAACTTCAAAATGTATTTCACATTTCTACAACATTTATGACCCAATGTCAATACAGATTCATGTTTCAACTATTCCAAGAAAAAAGAATCAGCGTGGCTCCACTTTTTGGTCTTTTTAGACCCCCAGCAGTCCTCAAAAAGTCTACAGACGAGAAATGCCTGCTACACACACACACAAGTATTTTTGTAGGGCTAAAGTTGTCCATACTTATTCTGATTAGCTCTTAACGTAGCATCTACTGGAAACCAGTGGAAACTAATCTCCATATTGTTGCGGGACGAGAATGCAATGCTGAGTTCCTTACTTTTTTCAGGTCAACCTCCGAGGGGAACAGAGACTTGGCTCATGTAGGTTTAAATGTGCAGGATGTGCAAATGTATTTGTTGACTTTGTGTAATAATAATGCTAACATTGTATTTATTTATTTGTAGGTCAAGTTGTAGAGCATGTTTTAAAACACAACAACAGTGTTTTACAGTCAAGGTGTAAAAACAACAACAAAGAAAACCATTTTTTAATCAAATATTGGATTTGTTTTAACCTATCTGAAAGGCCATGGTAAAAAGGTTGGTTTTACTGTAAGCAAGCGGCAACCTCTAGTCTTGAAAAATTAAGCCAATGTGAAAGTGCAAAATCCTGCAGTCGGCAAGTGTCCACTAAGGGCTGGCTCCAGGAACACCTGAAGTCACATACACACCACAGGCAAAAAAGCAGTTTTTACAGCATAAATAAACATGTTTACAGCCTGGTACAAAAAAATGAAACAGGTCTGATTAGTTATTGTCATCACTTGCACACAGTGTACAGGTGATGGATTTAAAAAAAAATGGCTCTGTTTTGATTTTGAAAACGATACGTGTAATCAATAGTTAGGTGCGTAGCTGACATGGTTGACAGGTGGGCGTCAAGAGGCTTCAAACCCGCCTCAGCTCCAGCTCTCAGCCTGTCATTAGACTGAAAGTTAGGCTGAGACAGGATTTCCATCATGGGGGCCCTGCTGCCATATCAGATGGCTGACGTCACTCAGGCGTCATCCATTAATATTTACAGTCTATGCTATTAAGTAGTGTTCTGAATTAATTTAATGAGTTAGCGCCTCTGATGAGGGCAGGCCATTGAGTCCACAAACGAGGTAGTTGCAGATGTCCAGGCGAGAGGTAATAAAAAGCACGGATACGTTTTCCTGCGTCCTGGAAATATAAAAAGAGGGTTTTACTTTGGTTGAGATTCGTAGTTGTAGGAAGTAGCCTTTGACAACAGTTTATTTGTTCATCAAATTGAAGGTCAAAGGTCATGCTAAGATTTTCTGGAGAGGGTTTTACATAAGAAGACAGTGGGCCATGTTTTTTGTTCATTGAGTTTTAAATGTTTTGTGCCATCCAGTCTTTAAGTTGTGTTTGACCATGATCCCCCCCCCCCACCCCCGATGTGTTTTTAATATTTTGTAATGCATGGGTATTTCTCTATTATTATAATTATTTTCTCAGTCCTTTATTTCCAGTTTCTGTTCCATTTAAAGTCTGCTCATTGTATTCTTTTGATTTTTACTTTGAGAAATCTGCAGTCCAATTTGAGGGCGCTGCCATCTTGTGGTGATTACCATTACTGCAGCAGCACTTCATCAAATTCATGATGAAATTCAGATTTTAAACAGATGATAATGATGACAGAGGGATAAAAGAGGAAGAAGAAAGTAGATGGAGACAATAAAGGAGGAGGAGGAGGAAAGGGCTGAAATGAGACCAAGACAGGAACAAAGTGTCAGACAAAGAGAGCTACAGACAGAAAGGGAAATACAGAGAGGGATAATCAAATGCTTGTTGTCACGGTATGAAAATGAAGACATCAAACACTTGTTGATGTGTTCTGTACAAAAGGTTTTATTAAAGTAAGCAAGCTTGACATAGTAAAAAAAAAATCCTTGACATGTTATGATATCCCTGAGGTGGACATGACGTCAAAATGTATTCAAGCACATAAACATCGCTCTGCATAGCAACAAGGTATGCGTGCGTTTTAAGCATTGAAAACCATTTACAGTATTTCAAAAGCGGGGTGAAACAAAGTACTAATCGTTGTTGATGCATCATTTGTCATTTGAAGTTTTTAATTTAGTTGAAACACACTCATGAACAACACCATGACCCTAACTAGCTCTCTTTAAGGTTAAGCATGTTTAAATCATCCTGGGTCATGATAAACCAAGTGCACGTAATGTTTGATTTCATTTTAATTCAAAGCTCTTGTAGAGAGTAACCCCCACTCCCCTCCTTTTCAGCCTAAAGGTGCTTTAAGTGTGACAGAATCATTGCAAGTTGCCACAGCTTGCAAAGTGTACAAGAAAGGAAGCACGTTGTACAAGGTTAACTGTACCCTCCTCATAAACAAGGCTGTTTGGGATTTCACACAATTAGAGTATTTGACCATAAATCCAAGTATTGGACAATTAAAGTTCTGACCTAATGTTGGTGTCAGAGCGGGGGGTTCAGAGTAATCTCTCAGCAATGCTTACAACATGACAATCCATATAACAGATGTTGAGACAAGGCAGCCTGAAGGTGTGGACCCACTCACTGACAATGCAAACCCTACAGGCATGGCAGGCAAAACAATACTTAACAAATATGAATCAAAATATACAACAAATCAAGAACAATAGCCACATGCAACCATTGGTTGAGTTTTTGTCAAGGCATCAGACTTAATCAATGGTCATTTTAGTGGCCCCTGCAAAATGTCAAACTAAGGATAAATACGTCTCTGCTTATTCAACTTAAAACTGGATCAAGACGCAAGATTTTGCTGAGGGGAAGTTGGCTTAACATTAGTTTAATTGGAACTTCATTCTGGTCCTTTTTAAACCAATGACACACTCCCAACTTCTCTAAGACAAAGATTTCAAACTATTTAAAATACAAATATCTTGATCAAATCAGCTCCTGTCTATGTATGATGCATGCCATATTTACAAAAAAGATCATTTTTACAGAAATACTTTTGCAGTAAAACCAATTAAAAGAACAATCAGTGCATTTTAGGGAGAAAGAAAACAAGTAAGGTAAGTAAGGTAATCCTCGTTTCCACCAAGCAGTCCACTTCAGTTCAGTTCTGTATTCATTTTTTGGTGTTTCTGCTGTCAAAAGTTGGGAACGGTACTAAAATAACCAATCCTACTTTTTTGCTTCCCTTCTGTTGGGTAGTCAAGTGAACTATTGGATGGAGCTAGACACTCCAGTCCATTGATTGGTTGAAAGAATTGTCCATTTCTGTGTGCAGTGGTAATAAATGACAAACAGATCTTAACATGTTTAAATATCATGTGGATTTTGAGAAAGTAATTTTGAGGCTGTGCTTTTGTGAATAATGTCAGCATGTAACACTGCCCCATGGATGACCTTAGAGGTGTTTAATTCATTGTCGGGCTACATTGTCACACTATCATGTCAGGCTATTATGTAGCTGACACCGCTACCACTGTCAGGCTTACACTCCGCTTACTAAGTAGAAGGTACGGTTGGCTGTTGAAATGCAAGCAAGATAAGGGTCTACTGTACCAAAGTGCACTGAACCAAACCTGAATGCTTGGTGGAAACGGGGCTTTAGCGCACTAACATAGAGATAGATAGGTGAACATGCAGATACATAAAGCATCATTCCTAGTCAAACTGCTGTAGCACACCCTCCACCATGAATGGTACATGCACACATGTCTCATAGAAATACTTGAGAAAGTCTTGCCAAAAGTTTGAACTGCATGAAAAAAGAGTTTCATCACAATTCTGTGAATTTCTCCTTCACCACCGTCTTGCTGTAGGTGGGGGTTCCCATTACTGTTGTGGTAGATGAACTCACTACGCTGCTTTTAGAGCCACCAGATGAGCCACTCTTGCTAAAGAGGACTCCTTGAGAACCAGAGGAGCCCTTCATCTGGGACAGACCTCCTGCTTCCTGGATCAGTTGCCCTTGGCTGCTTGTTGGCCCTCCAACCACCATGACTCTCTGAGATCCTGAAAGCCCTCCTTGCAGTGGAGTTCCCCCCTGCACAAGGCTTGTCTGACTTCCCTTTAGCACTTTCACAGATGTTGCAGGGACATATCCTGAAAGCCCTCCTGCCTGCACTAGGCTAGGCTGGCTCCCCTTCAATACTTTCATTGAACCTGCAGGGACTCTGCCCTCCACGACCATCATGGTCTGGGCGCCAGAGGGGATGCCAGTGTGGACTCCACTCCCTCCTACCAGCATCATTCCTGGGCCCTGAGCTTGTGCAGTGGAAATCATGGACTGCCCCTGGACCATCATGCCTTGGGAAGGTAGAGTCTGGGTTCCATTAACCAGGACCATGCCTTGCAGGTTGGTGGATGGTGCCTCTGCCAGAAGTACAGTATTCTGAACCTGTGGCTGGACTACGTAATGCATCGGCTGAATCATAGGGGTGGTGGTGTAGTAGACAGGCTGTTGCTGCTGTAGCATGTACATCTGGCCTTGATTTGCCATCCCTTCGTTCACTCTGGTCATCCCTTCGTTCACTCTGGTCATCCCTTCTCTCACTGTGCTTTCCTTCACGGTCTCCCTGACCACAGTGCGCTCTGCTTGCGGGATGGTTGGCTGCACCTGGGGTGGAGGTGGCAGCTGTTGGGTCATAACCCTTGACACGGAAGTATGAGCGGGAGCCCTCACTTTTTTGACTTCAGTTTGGATCTTCTTGCCTCCACACTCCTCAGCCAGGGTCTTGAATTTTGGCCCGAGGTCATCAAGAAACTGTAGGTCGTTGTCAGACTCCAGGTCACTGCAGCAGCCAACTGAGCCAGCAGGGGAGCCATTGCCCTCGAAGTTAGAGACCAAAAGATTGTCCTCCGCTCCATTGTTGTTTCCACTGGCAAGTTTCTGTTGAAAAACAATAAAGATAATTTACTAAGCTTACCTTTTTTGTTGACTTGGGGCCAATTTTTACTTTTATGTTAACTGACGGGACAAGTGTAGTGTAACTTTACTGCCAAAGGAATTTGCGGTTGAGCTATATTAGCCATATGCCTATTTATCAGCTTGATTTGTTTTCCAGCAAAACAATCCAAAAAAACGAGTTTAAAGAGTAGAAGTTTTCACTTGATTCCTCACCTGAGTGTAGTATTGTGCAAGAATGTGTTCCGGCAGAGCCATGCCATCAAAACGTCCCCCCCCTGCTGCTGATCCTCTGCCCTGGAACTCAGAATAGTGGGCACTGCCACGGTGCTCGGTCATCGTCCCCCACGACCTATCTCTTAAATATCCGTCGTCATACCCACCCCCGTTCATCCCATCCATAGAGGCAACGGACTGCTGGAAACCCATACTTGCCATGGGCGCGTTTACAAAAGATTGGTTACTCATTTTCATCATCTCTCCTCCATCCACTGTTGGCATGGTTATAAGTGGCACTTCCTGTAACCAGTGATGACAAATTTTAGAATAGGGCCAACACGTATGTTTCACAACATTCCTTTTCTGTACAGATGATGAGGTAATTAAAGATATATGCTGTTTTTACCGTGTTCTCTCCCTGTCCCTCAGTGTGGTAGTTGATGAGGTTTGATTTGGTGTCAAAAGGCATCTCAGTGAAGGCCCCTGGCATACCAGCAGCACTCCCACAGTGACAGAAGAGCAGCAACAGAGGAATGACTGTAAAAAAATATATATATATCTCAGTCTAAATTTATGGATCACAGAGGTTTGATGTGTAGACTTCAGCAGGTCTTCCAAAAACATTAAGTGTAGCTTTAATTTCTGAGATCAATGAAACATGGTTATTTTGGATTAGCAGTTCTGTTGCAATATGATGCCATGTATAGTTACTCTTTATAATGAAAGCTGGAGGTTTTATAACCATTATGGTGCACGTTATAATATATGAAAAGTTTAGACGGCTGCTGCAACCTGCGGGCCAAATAGCATGCATGGCACAACAACAATCACAGAATCACAGTCACAACACATATCATCACATCAGTTAATGTAACAAGACTACATGTAGAGAGTCCATCAGTATTAACTAATCCATTCAGGCACATTCACACACGGCCGAAGAAGCGGCGGGAGCAACTTTGGGTTAAATGTCTTGCCCGAAGACACATTGGACATGTGGATGTAGAAGCTGGGGATCAAACCCCTGGCTTTCCAGTTGAGAGACGACCGACTCTACCAACTGAGCCACAGCCGCCATGTGCACTCCAGATAACCCTGAAATAGGTCTGAGCAATCTGATCCATCCTCGGTGCATTAACACTAATATTTGAGTGAGTGGATGTTCATACCCAGGAAAAACTGGGCCCAAACAGGACTCTAACTTTTGAGCACTGAAAAGGTCGGAACATTTTGATCAAATGACTCTTAAGCAGAATGAGTTTCCCATCATACTCACGTAGTAACATCAGCAAGCCCAGGCAAAGCAGTCCAATGCCTGCAGGTCCTAACACTGATTCTTTGGAGAGTTGACCTTGGGACCCTCGTTTTCCACACACCAATCCATCCTCACAGGTACACACTTGGATCTCCACTTTCTGTGGTTCTGGACAGGCCTCTCCCTGCGCATCTTTCACATTAAATTCCACTTTATAAAAACCAGGCCAAAATTGTTCCTGAGCCCTCAGGATAGCTGCGGTGTCTGACACAAACAAAACAAACAGAAGATTGTAAAATCAGTATATGAGTGTTCTGGATGAAAGAGTTCATCTTAAATGATGCTTCTTAGTGTTCTACTCAAACAAAATAATTTAAATATCAGTTTTTATTTACTTTATATTTGGTAAATGTATATATGGAGTTCTTCTCACCATTTAGACGCTCGACCTGCCATTTCCCCTCAGTGCCTTCTGGGATAATGCTGAATTCAAAAGGAGCTCCATTAGGATATCCGTCCTCATCTATAGCATTGACAATAATATGATCCGCACTGGTACACATCGTCTGGAAGTTACTGGTCAGGGTGGGGCAATGGTCATTAAAATCCTGCACCTGGATGGCTACAGTGCCGGTAGCTGTTTTACTGGGGTCATCTGTGATTGAAAAAACAAGCAGAAAATCAAACCATGAGTATCTCCTGATTCTGTTTCTATGTGGAACAGATAACCGCTGCATATAGGAAGCTAGTTCCCTCCTTTTTAATTGGTGTGTGAATTTGACTAGCGGTGGACTGTCAGTGCAGTACGTGTTTTCTTAGCACAGACTGTCAGTGTTCTGGTTTCCCAAGTGGAAGCGGTAGACATCCAGTGACATACTGGGTATGTGTTATTGTAATAGCTCAGATATTTAGCTCACTTTGTGCTGCCTAGAGCTCATTTGAATTTGAAAGTGTACATACAATTAAGACACCGCTCAAGATTTCAAATAGTCAGCTTTATACGGAATATACTAAAAATCAACTTCTACATCTCCAGGTGCTGATGGTCCCCAGGGGGAGAATGTTAAACGCCAGGGGGCTCTCAATCAAAACAATAGCAAAAGATGACGTCGAGGCTGGCGGGGAATCATGGGAGTGACCCCACCTCCCATTAAAAAGATCTCAGTGTTTACCACCGAATAATGATTCAGTGTATAATTAAGATGACGTTTTATCACAGCAGCACATACAGCAACAGTACGGCAGCTTTCAGTAGCAGCTCCCGCTTCCTTTATGAAGCGGTCTTTGACGTAACGTCCAGTGTTTCCACGGTAATGATAAACATGTGTCTGTCTTGGCGGCTCTGTCATTACAGACACCACGGCAAGACACGTCCTGTTACAGCTATAAAATTACTGATTTATCTGGGTCTGGTAACTGTCAGAAATGTTTGAGGTAATGTAGGCATAATAAAAATATATATAACATGGGTAAGTTCATTTTTAATTCATTTAGATATTTGAGTGTAAATATTCTACATATTACACCTTTAAGTCTAATGAATAAAAATGCCAAAAGAAATTGCTTCAAATGTCATTATCTCATGAAATGTTAAACATTAAAACGTCCGTCCCCCCCCCCCCCCACATAAAGGGGAAGAGTTTACCTTCACTAATGCACAGCACTTGAGCAAAATATGTCCCATTGACCAGGAGTGGAGATTCTCTGTCGGGAAGCTTGTTCAGTTTGATCTCTGCTGTCTTTGGATCGATGGTTAGCCAGTTGCCAGGGTCTGAGCCTTTTACATACCTACAGCAGAAACACGATGTGTTAGTTATTATCATCAGCGTAGAAACATGTGCTATCATTGAATTGTGGACGTGTTCATGCGTAAACTTACTTGACGTTCTCCGCTGGTTTCAGAGTGTCTCCGTCGATTGCAGGGTAGCTTGCAATGACATCATTAATGTTGATGCTCTGGCCCCCCTCTGAGATGGGAATAGCCTTGACTTTGGGACTGAAAGCTGCACCCTCGGGCTTGTTCTTGACGTTGATTTTGACTGGATAGGTTTTAAATGAGGTCCCACTTTGCCATGAGGATCCTGAAGACCAGCCTCCAGATCCAGATCCACCTCCAGTTCCTCCTCCTGCTCCTCCTCCCGCTCCTCCTCCTGCTCCTCCTCCCTCTCCTCCTCCCGCTCCTCCTCCCGCTCCTCCTCCTGCTCCTCCTCCTCCAAAACCTATACTACCTCCAGAGGCACCAGATCCAGAAAATGGTGGGGCCTTGTTTCTCACAGCTATCCCTAGATCAAGGTCCTTTACATCTTCATAATCCACAGCCTGTGAAATTGCACACACAAAGATGATAAAACGTCTGTTAAAAAGGTCACTGCAAGCTATGTGTACATCTGCTTCTCATGTTGGGCGGTTAAAACTGCAGAAACACTTATGTGTTGCTCAATCAGCCTCACCTTGTCTAGCCAGAGGACACCCTCATTGGTTTTAGGGTCAGTTGTGATTTTGAAGTACCCTGCTTCATTGCCTTTCACGATTTCAAACACAGATTCCCAGTTTTCTGTGCCCTCCAGATCCAGGTCCTCTGTCTTGAGTCTCATCACCTCCACACCTTCTGCGTTTTCTTCAATGCTGGCTTCGTACTGCATATAAAACCCATAATTAGGTATTTTTTACTTAAATATCTGGTGCTCATCTGAATACCATGTAACATGTTTCACTTGCAGCAATATACAATCTTACAAGGTCATGTAGAAAAGTGTCTGAGAGGAATCTACCTTCTCTTGTGTGAGTTTGGGCACGTTGTCATTCACATCTTTGACATTGATAGTGACAGTGCTGGTTGCACTGTTTCCTCCTGGTGCGCCATCTAAGTCCTGAGCCATTACCGTCACAGTGTACGAATCTGCTAGCTGAAAGTCAAAAGAGAAACAAAATGATCTACAGAGGCGGGACTGGACTCTGAAGGCTGCACAAAGCCTCACAGAAAAAAAGAAAAGAAAGCTGTTTTTTATTCAATGCTGCACAGTCCTAATTCCAGGTGTCATCTCAGGAGGTCAGACTGATGAACTGAGTCTACATGTGTAAGGCCCCGTGTCCACCTGGCATTTTTTTTCTGGGCAGAAAAGCACTGGCTGTGTGCTCGGAAGCACTTGCATGAAGCGTTTGTTAGCTGAGGATATAAATGTCTGCCCTGTCTCTATGACAACAGTCTGTTGACAATAACCGCTGTATGATCCACACGGCTAGGTTATTTTTTTTCTGATCAGACCCAGAGCAAAGAAGATGTGAGTACAAGACACGATCAGTAGGAAGCTAAAATACAGGGAATATCATACATTTGGAAAAGAGCACCTGTGACATCAACAGAGCCATTCTGAAAAGTTGAAAGATTTTCAACTTCAGCGATCAGAGCGACCTCACAAAAGAAGGTGGAGCACTCAGAAAAATACGCTGGGCACTGTGCTTTTTCTTCAGGTGCCCGCCTGCTGCTGCAAATGTTCACTCCTCTTTGAAAACACTTGAAAAAAGACGCTGTCGCTCAGAGAAAAATGCTAGGTGGACACGGGGCCTTATACTAACACTTCCCACGAGATGGCAAAGAAAAGACGAGAACATGAACTGCTGCAGATTAAAAGTGGGGGAACATTCATTACATTTGTTATTTATGATGTATGATTGTAATGATGTATCTTATACTGTACCTCTCTGTCCAGATTAGCATTTTTCACACGGAGGATTCCATCTCTGGTAATGTCGAACATACCATATGATGGACTCTGACTAACGATGCTGTAGAATATCTTTGAGTTAACATTCCCTGGTTCATCAGCATCAGTTGCATTTATTTTCATAATCGGAGTGCCTGTAAAATACATTGTAAAAACGGCATTTTATTCAAAAAGTCGTTTGAAAGGAATATTTCCAAGACATGTTTTTGCCTTTTTCATAAACTGCATTTTTTTTTCTCTCTGTAAAAAAAAGTATTTTAAAATAAAGCAGATAGAGGTGATTTTCTCCATTTTTCATTAGCGTCTAAATTCATGTGTCCTTGCTGTCTTCTTAACAGCCTCAGTTACTGAAGCACAATGTTTAGCCATGGTCCTTCTTACCATTGCAGATCTTGCATATATGATTCTGAATCCCAGACTCATTGTCTTATTAGTCACATTGAATATCATAGTCATGAATCTGTACGGTGTGGGCTGGTAGAAGAGTCATTAATTCATTTTGAAATATGAATCTCTCTTCTTAGGAGATAAATAATCCATCATTTATAATTTGATTTTAAAGTTAAAGGTTGTGTTTTTGGGTAGAGAAGGATGCTATCCTGCTGTGCATGTAGTAACTCTTACACACGTATTTTGTATTTCATTGTGGTTTCCTGTTTGTTTTTTCTACATATGCATACGAGGGCTTATATGCTAGCATGTGATGCAATACACATTTTTTAAGAATAGCTGCAAACGTTTCTACTGATGGATAGTTTATATGACGTGCTAAAACACAAGCAACAGATGCATGGGGAAGATTACAAGCAGGTAAAAATGGGTGAATACAAGGCAAACACTTGAATCTAATAGTTTGTTAGGACACAATGATACACACAGTGCTAATCTGACTCTAGTCAAGTCATGTGACTCGAGTCCCACACCTCTGCTGCTAATCGCTGAATATCACTGAACTGAGACGTAAGGATGTGATTAATATGAACGACACTCAGGTTTGATCTCAGCCGTAAAGAACGTACGGGATAGCTATTTGGAAGAAACGTAAACAGAAGCAGGAAACTTACCTGGAGGACTGAGCTCATACACCTCCCCCGCCTTGATGATACCAAACTTTGGACTATTGTCGTTCTCATCGACAACCTTGAATTTGATATCAACCTTTTCTTCTGCTTCTACACCATTGAGGTACTTCGCAACACCTTTCAACTGAGATGGAAAAAAGAAATTCAAATATTGTCACAAGTGGAAACATGTTAGCGCAACTATTTAGTATCAAATACAAAAAGCTGCCAATGCTTTATCATATTGTTGTTTATTGTTTATTAGGATCCCCATTAGCCACTACCTACAGTAAGTAGTGACTACTCTTCCTGGGGTCCATACAAAGGTTAAATATCAAAGAGTCACTTACATTGTAGGTGTGGATTAGCTCCCTGTCCAGCTTCTGGGTGAGCTGAATTAGTCCAGTTTCATGATTAACCACAAACACGTTGAAGGGGACCTGGTCTGCCCCAGGACCTTCCAGAAAATATTGGATATTCCCTTTGCCGTTGTCGAAATCTGAATGAATCTGGAACACAGAGAAGAGCAGTCTCACTTATTACACTGCATTCGGATGGAACAACAACAACACAAAACAGAAAACAAGGAAGAACACAACAAGTGATTGAACTTTCTGTGTGTTGAACACTGATTTGCTGCGACTTGAAGATCTGCTGACGTAAAGTTCACTGTTGAGGATGACATTACAGTGCCCCCCTCTGGTGGCAGGAGGTGTTTTCAGATTATTATTTTTTAAGCTGTAATTTTTTGTGTTTTCCCTTTCATGTATTTGATTTGACAAAGCATTAGCTGAGGTCCGCTTCTGGACCAATGGCGCTTGTGTATGTAAGTGAGGGGCGTGGCTTTTGAGGGAGCACAGAGGGGAGGGGGCAGGTGCAGACAGGAGCACTACTTTCAAAATCATGCTAGTTTTCGAAAATTACCAACCCTGCCTTTAAGACATATGTTCACCTCATAAACATAGTATGTGGGTACATATTCAATTCCACAAACAGATATTGATGGTGTTGAATAAAGACTGTTTCATTCTTGCATTTTAAAAGTCAAGTTATAATCCAATCCATTTTCTTGTTGGGATATCTTACAAATAGTGGAGCAGTGATGCTGATGCTACAGGGGGAGGATAACACACATATTTTCTTCTGACGCTAAAGAGTGTTGAAGACAAAGAACGGTGGCTCACCTTGGCAACATATTCCTGGTGACTGTAGTCTTTATTTTCAATGAGTGGTGTCCTGGGGGGGATCCAGACTGACTTCACCACAACTGCCTGGAACTGAAAAGCAACAGAGGCCATTACTTCACAATGAGCATTTACTAGACAGATTCATACTGGGCCCCGACATGTCAGATCAGGTGCCTCTCACTTAAGGGGGTGGGGGGGATCTTGTGTGAAACCTTGGAGAACTGGCCGGAAATATCATATTCTTGGAGAACTGGCCGATGACCAGTGGTGTAGTTCACAGAGGTATACCCACTCCTGAGCTCTATCTACTCCTAAGCTCTTCTGATTTACAATATTCAGTGGTATGCTGCAATTTTTTTGTCATGATGGCTAAAGGATGACCCACTCTTTTCTTTAAGAGGTTGCTTATTTGAAGATGTCACATACAGTAAATGATTGACTGATTGATTGATTGATTGATTGATTGATTGATTGATTGATTGATTGATTGATTGATTGACTGATTGATTGAACTTTATTGTCAGACGTGGGTTTCAAAGGGAGTTCACTGGAAAATCAGATTTTTTGTGTAAGAATATTTTACCTTCTTAAACAGTGTGTCATAGCTGCAGCTGTGTCAGCAAATTCAGTCGACTAAATTGACAGTGAACTCGGTAAAGAGAGCTTGTGTTTGATGCACTCAGACCCTCTCACAGTTTGCATCATCAGGGAATTCAGTGCAATGGATTGTTTTATGCAGGCATACCTTTAAATATGACTTCACAGTGTTTACAATGATATGTAATTCTAGTCAGCTTTCTGCACATGAGCCTCTATTACATGAACACATCCTATGCCTTGTGGAGTTTTGTTTCCATTTGACTTCCTGTGTTTGTGAGCTAACGTTAGGCTGACGAGGTCATATGTTAGCACCATGTATGTACTCAATGGACCCTCGATAACATCTCAAAAGAAGGGAGGAATCCATTAAACAGAATGTGGAACAAAACACGTCTCACTACAGTTTCATGACTCTATCGTAGAAGTCAATAAGGAAAATGTGTACTTTTTACATCCTGCAGCTATCTAATTGAAATAGGTCAATGTAGATTAGCCGTCAATGCTAAATCAATCCTATATTAGCAATGATGAAGTTGAATGATGAACGTTCTGCATGCTCTTATATAACAAGGCCCGGTCAGCTGCCACTTTCACATCCCCCTGTCTCCTGCTGACTTCTCCCTTTTTCTTCTGTTGCTATTCTCCATCTGTCCACCAGATGCCCTCAGACTTCACCTCCCTCCCCCAGACACACACACCTGTTCTCAGAGACAATAGACAAAGCCGGTTTTCTCCACCACACCCGCTCATCTGTCTCTGCTTTCTTATTTCCCCTGCCCTGCCTTCTCTTTTTGTCTGCCAGCCAACATGCAAATATCTTCATGTGAAAAATACTGAAGATCAATAAATAGTTACACCAGTCTGTCAGTACACCCCTCTATGTTTGTGTCTCTTCCTCTCATATAAAGGGCCGTTGTGGGCTGGGTAAATAATCAACTGTGTTGTTTGGACATGATGAGACTGAAACAAACTGACACAGGAGTTACGTGTTGCAATCCAAAGTAAAAAACAGCCGCAGTCAGGAAGAAGTTCCCACCGAAGCTTCGGTCAGACTGCAGTGTTTGAAGAAATCGTGTTTTCACTTTTGAAAGTGTTTCATGAGCTTTCAAGTTTCATACAGCTCAAATTCAGCTCGATTCTCATTCAATCAAGCCGAATGAGACCACACACTTTTATTTAATTTTCACATAATGTGCTACATGTGCAGTTACACGACAACCAAACACATGCTTCATTATTAGTGGAAGGTTAGGATTGCGAAGTTTGTTTATTTGAAAGAATATAAGATACATGAATACAGATGATTGCCCCGATGTCCAGGACTTTATCTACTCTTAATATCAACCACCTCATTTAAATAAATAAGTGGTTTCTAGCCCGTCATCATTCCTTCAGTGTTTGGATCATAAACGGTGTGTAAAATAAAGAATAAATCATTTAAGTTGTGTGCTGAATGAAGTGACAAACTTTGTGGAGTTAAAATGTATGGAGTAAGTCCATGAAATACAGCATTTATACAGTTTATTCAGTACGTGTGTCAACTAAACAAAGACGGGTGCTGGAAAGCTGAGTCGAAAATAATATTTCACTCATTCTCAAAACCTCAGCAGGGCTGAAAAAGAAATGATACACGCTTCATCTTACATTTCAGGCGTTTCATCAATTACATCATGAAGATGGAATATTAATCTCATTTTGGCTTTTTTTGACATAGCTCACCTTCACTGTCTGGGAATCAGTGAAACCTCTAAACCCAGTTTAAAAACCACAGACCTAAGGAGTGTTTCAAGCCGTTTTTGATATTAGAATCCTCCAGACCGGGAGATCACACACCTGCCGCTTGTAGAAACGATTGCACAGACAGAAGTGCACTTAAGTCATAATGAAGATAAAATGACCACTTAGCGTGAAAGTGGAAGTGAGCAGTGAAAAAGTATTTAGGACAAATGATGCGGTCAAAAGGAGAAGCAGCATTTATTCAAACAGTATGTGTTCAATCTCTTGCTCCACACGAGCCTCTTAATTTGTGTTTGGACTGAGCTGCCAAACTTTTCATTTGACCTTGAAGAGAGATATCAGTGTTAACACCGCAGCACTTTCTGCCTGTTGCAGGAATAAAAAAATTGATTAATTGATTAAAATCTTCCTGCCACTCTATGGATGCTCTGTTCATATCATCCCTTGACAGTTCGGGCAGTACATGATACATGGAAACAGAGCTTTTCTCCGTTTCATCTCATCGTGTCTGTATTTATCATGCAGGTATCAACTGGTGGTTACGAGTGCCAACAATTAGAAATGTACTGTCAGTAACGTAACAGCCTGCTGTTAGTCAAGACACACAGACAAGCCAACACAAACAGGACACACTCTGTTACAGAGCGCTGTGTTCAGTCCAAACACTGAAGATATAGTCCTTTAACAAACACTGCACAGACACACATACGCCAAATGGAGGATGTGTGTCTGTTACTTGTTCAACATTGTCAAAGCTTTTATCACAAAAAGAATATGTTTCTGTAAATCACTGCAAACTCCGGCCAACAAGCCAGCTACCACCTTAACTGGTGATTCCCTGCGGGTTCACTACAGTACTTCAGGCAGTTCATGTCAGTCCAAGTTGCAAAGAGATTTGGCAATGCTTGATGGACAGAAAACAACAGCCTTTAAAATCCCATGTAAGATTATTGAAAGACATCAATCTTCAAGGAGGCAATCCTCACTCATGGATCTGTTGCTGGATGTTGTATGGCCAATAGGCAAATCTCAAGAAAGTCATGAGCTGTTAGAGGGATTGTTGTTTGGGAGAATCTGATTTCCCTTACCCCCCCTTATGTTTCCAAATGTATTCAGGTGTTGCTGAGTCCAGATCAAATATTTGGAGAGTTTCTCTGTCCCTGAACATCCTGACTGGATGAACCGTGACACAGACACAGTTGAAAATCTCATGTGAGGAAGCCATATGGACTCAGAGGCTGCAGTTTAGGACTAGCTCAAATGTGGATAAAGACTAGACTTGTAATGGGGATAATATTATTTAAAACAAATGGGTCAAAATAAAAATGACAGTAAAGATACACTGGACATCCGTTCCTCAGGCTGTTTATCTAAAGAAGCTGACACATTGTTTTTCCATGGTATGAAGCTGGATTCCCAAGTCACCTAGCTAAGTTTCCATCACTACGAATAAACTCAAAGTGTAACATGAGATTACCACTTTATGACAGTGCATCAGTACACATATAATTACTGAGGTTTCTGAACATTCAGCCAGGAGCCTTTCCCATATATGTGCGACAATGAGTAAGTCACATATTAGTGAAGCTTCGAATGCAAACAGAAAGCTTGTTTTTGTGCAAAATCCGATTGTTGACTCAGATACTAATGCTTCTTTACTTGTTTGTTTGTTTCTGTTTTTTTAATAGATTTGATGTTTTCTAATTGTTGCTACATAAGTCCCTCTTCTTCAAATATCTCTAAAAAATGTCTGACAAACTGCATGTTGCTGATATGACAGAATCAGAGAGAGTCCCACACTGAGGACATTTTCTTTCACGTTTGACCATGAAAACAAATCAGAATCTGTCTTCTCCTTCTTAACGTTTTCTGAATCAGCAGTATTAAACTGATGCAACACAACTGATACATATCCACTACTGGATACCACATTAGATTCCTGTTAACTCAGCAGGGTAATTATTGACCGAAACTAATGTTCAACAGAAACATTGGTGCATACTTGGTTAGAATGTCTCATCTTCAATCAATAATTTATCAAATAAATATTAACATTATAGTTAGTCCGTACGCGCCATGTACAGAGGATGAAGTCCTTGAGGTGGAGGGCCCAGGTTCAAGGCTCCTTCCCTATGTGTCGTTCCCCACTCTCTCCCCCTGATTTCCTGTCTCTACAATAAAGGCTTGAAAGCCCAAAAGCTAATCTATTTCAAAGATCATCATTATTGATCCCTCATCACAGGAAATCAACAGAGCGCTGGTATCCTGCAATGTGCTAATTGTATTTGGCTGGTGACCGAAAGTGACTAACTATGGCACAGCCCCACCTAGCAATTTTTTTTTCAACCCCCAACTGTCCGGTTAAGAGACAACCGACTCTACCAACTGAGCCACAGCCGCCCAAAATAAACAAGTTAGGACTTGGGCCACCTAAAAATCTAATTGGCCACCCAATCTATGAGGTCATTTTGCAGATCAATATGGCATATTTTCTGTAGTTTGTTCTTTTAATTGTGTATAAACATTTTGAACATAATTTTCAGGTGCATGGGAAAGTAATGCACATTTTACTTGCAATGAACTAACTGTGTGTGTGCCAGGGCCAAAACGTGTATTTTTGCAACTTGCAAAAATACACGTGCATGTGCATACGTGTTTGAATGCACATTTTAAAGTACTTTAAATTCTGACTTTGAATCTTCTTTAGTGTCATTAAGATTTTAAGCTAATGTCGACATTATAAAGTAGGAATGATTGGTTAATAATTTATATTTATTTGAGAGTGTTTGTGAACACATCACACTTCAGGCCACCCCTGCAAAAGTCAGAGCGCCAGTTGGGCCCCCAGTCAAGAAAAGTCTGGATGCGCCCCTGTCTGTATCACAGGCTCAAGTGTTTGTACTGAATCATATGTTCACTGCTGGAACTGAAGGCATCATTTTGTTAACGACCCGCTGCCGAGTTGGGCTCTCAGATCTGTCAGTAACTAATTTATCTCTGCATTACAAATTGTATGTTGACAGCTGTTTTTATAGCTATGTCTCTATAATAAAAAACAGCATGATGCAAGATGCTGTGAAATGCCTGTGTGAAAAAGCATCCGCCCTCAGGTCCGCTGTATAACTGTTTGTGTTCAGGAGAGGCAGACACACCCTGCCACTCCTAGGAGATTTGAGTAATCCTCATCTGCACCGTCAATGCATGGGCATGTCAGGATGACTGGAAAAGTGAGACAAAGAAAAGGGAGTGGGGTTTCTTTTTTTTTTAGTGTACTAAGTCTCACTAAGATGTACCAAATCAACAGTATAATGACAGTGACAACGTCTTTAGTGATCCTTTGAGAATCTCTGAGGACATTGAAGCCGTTCTTCCCTCACATGGATTTAGTTAGTTATGTGTGTTTTGGTTGAATAGGCTAAATATTCTTCAAATATCTTTCCTCAAAAAGGCTATAATAGTTATTGAAAATTTTTTAAAGAAATTCTGCAGCTCACAAGAGATATTAGAAAGTCAGTGGTTGAGAAATGATGCCATATCCTATGTCTGATAGTACAGCCCACTGTGTTGCTAAGGCAACCAGGTATTTGTTGGTGTCGACATAAACAGGATAGTTAGCCTGAGAAGGGAGTTAGGCAATATGATAACACTCTGACTCAAATTTCACTCCGACAGTAGGCTGTCTCATATATTTCATGTCTGACACCTCAAACGTTTGAAATGAGTTTAAAAGCTGGCGTTTCCGAGTCGTCGAACAAATTTTGCATATTTAGCCTGTAATTAAAATAATAGATTCAATATGAAGGCTAGAAACGATTAGACCGGTCTACTTTGTCCAGAGTTCTTTTCGGGAAAGCTCTCCTACAACAATCAGCCGAACAGACTTTAAAAAGTAGGCCTAATTGAAATGTAAGATAGGCTATAAGAAGTAGGAAACAGCAACAGCTGCAAAACAAGTAGTTCCGTACTCACCACAAACAGTAGCGACACAAAGACGGGCGAAGAAACCCGAAGCATGATGGAAAAAAAAAAGTTCCGGTATCCGCGTGAAGTGAACCGGTATAGAGTCCTACTGATGCCAACAAGTGTTCCTCACAGACTGTGACCTGACGGAGGCGGGACGGGACTTTATGAAGGAGGAGTAGTGCTCCACCAACACCCATACACACCCTTCAGGACGGAAACACAGAGTTTAGTGTGTTTGTGTGTGTAAGCCAGGTCAATACCAGTACACACCTATTGTGGTTTAACCCTTTCAGGACCTACTGACGTCGAAACTCGTAGCCTACGAAACAAAAACAAATGTTGCACTTAATGTTGATGATTTACAAAGCAGAAAGTAAAATTAAATGTAAAAAAATTAGGCTTCTATTAGGCCTTTGTGATATTTTTTTTACAATGTGAGCAGCAGACCAAAAGTCTAAGTGTCAATATCATCTTAACAATAAAAACAAAAGATTTTAGTTAGAGGCGCCTTTCAAATCCCTAAAGGTCACTTTACATAGCAGAGATTTAAGAGGAATCGATCAATTTAACAGACACATTTACAGCGGCCTATAAAATCATTGTGAGGAGGATTCATGAAACAGGACGGGAAATTTCAAAAGACGTGTTTTGAGATGAGTTTTTAAAAATGGTGTCAAAATATTAGGGATGAGTGGTGGGAGGGATTTCTAGATGAGGCTTTGGACCCCATGGTGGTCAGGCGAGCAGGTGGTGCGGTGAGTTGAATGGAAGTAGTATAGCCTTGTAAATAAGGACTTAAAAATCTTGAAAAAAAAAAGAGCAAAAGATCCTTCGGTGAGGCGTAAAAAGTATTTTACGCTTCACCTCATTTGATTAACAGGGTGAACAGAAGTGCTTTCATACCTCATGTTTTAACAAAATGATTTATGTAGGCTACAGAATTTCCCCCTGAGTAAGTAGGCCTATTTCTGATTTAGATTCTGATTCTTAGACAAAAACATGAGGACACCAGTGAATGAGCAAAGAGCTGAAGCACCTGTTTGCAAATACAGTTTTTTTTTTGGGATGTCACTCCCTTGGAAAGACGAGACTGATCCATTTACATCGTCAATGCCAGAATCAGTCCTAATAATACACTCAGTCTTAGTGTCTGTACGATCAATATGTTGGTAATAATCAGAGGTGTAAAGTAGCGAATTAGGGTGAATTAGCCAAATGTGGGACACCTAAGCTCAAGTGGGTGTAGGTCTTCCTACAACAAATGAAAGTCAATAAAACTAAGGGTTAACACGAGTTGAGATCTCATGTGATCAATAAAAATAACATGACTTCTCAAATAGCCAATCATAGATTAGAATGATACAATCTTGAAACAGGTAGTACACAGCCTGAAGACCACCCAAAGGTCAGTGACATACTGTTTATTACTCTTTACACCTCTGCTAATAATCTGCCGAACCCTTGTTGGTACATGGATCTAAACAGGCAGGCACAGCAACTAAAGTGAACTGAATTTAGACCTGGACACTAGGCCTAATTCCAGGATGAAGATTTGAAAAAAAAAAACTCTGTTTATGTGTAGACGGGAAAACTGAGTTTTTGTGCTTTTAAGGTCACACTATGTGCCGGTTTCTGCTCCGTCCCGCATCATTGTGCGACACTGTCACTTTTGTTTCCATGACATTAGTGCGTTGGCAGACGTAACCAGACTAGTGCTGGTGTTAACGCTGCTAACTAGACTTTTTAAACATACATACAATGTTACTCTCTCACTATGTTGACGCAGAGAGGCGACACGAAGACATCCCAAACCCTGCCTCCAATGTCGGTGGTTTCGGAGGAGACCCGGTCGGATACAACATAATGGGGCAGGTTTTAAGGCTTGAACTTTTCAGGGAGGGGATTCAGTGGCTCTGTTATTCTGTGTGGGACTTGTTGCTGACATAGTCCACAGGGTCATCTGAAATCAATACCAAATTGTACCGACATTAATGTGTGTCCCAGAGCCAAGCTCGTCTTTGATTTCATACTGCTGGCTGCAAAATAGTTTGAATTGTTCGGCACATTTTTTATACTTCGTGCTTTTTTCCAGGTATTTTCACCTACATTTTACTTTCTTTATTTTCTGACAGATTTAAATCCTGGAGAAAATCATCATGGTTGTTATTGTTATAATTCTGTAAAACTTCAAAATAAAAGTACAACCTAATCTGTCCAATCCTACATGAGGGCTTATCAAAGTAAGAAAGAATGTAATGTTTACAGCAGCTATAAATCAAATCAATGAAGTAGTGATTTTATATCAACAAGGTTTGTGGTCGTATATGGGTAAATATGTTTTCTTGTTTATAAGTGTCCGACTTGAATTGTCATGATCACATGTGATCGTGTCAGATTTTGGTTTCGATGAAGATGTTTCCAAAAGTAGTCGATGAAATATCACGTTGTAAACCGAGACTCAGAGAAAGTGTGTGGAACTGTACGGAGCGAACACTTGTCAATAGGTGTCAGAAAACAGACAGGGTGTGGTGATACCAGCAGGTGTGACTGTGAGTCATGTTAAAGAGTGAGATGACTTGTGATGTGATTAAATTAAAATGTTTGTGTGTCAGTGAGTGGATTCAGCCATTTGGCTCATGCCTTCTCGATTAGTGTGAAGAATAAAATGCTCATGATACTTGGGTGGTGCAGAAAAAGTTCAATGATTGTAAATTAAAAAGAAGCTTTTTTTTAATAAACTTTCAAACTGAACACATGGACCTGTCAGAACTAAAACATCAAACAGCACGCTAACACATAATTCCTTGTTCCTTGTCAGTGGTTGCATAGTCTGAGGTACAGTACACTTGTATTGTAATGCTCTTTTCACCTTGCTCAGCAGGTCCACCCAGGGGTGGTTCTAGAGCCTGTTTGGGCCCCAGGCAAAAAAATCAATGGGGGCCCCTCCAACCAGCGTTCATCACTGTTATGTGTGCCAGTTTCCCAGCACTCTTTCTTTTTTCAATCCCAGACGGATCATTCCTCTTTATTTTCCTTTCATTGACACAAACATTGGTTTTTCAAAGCAAAAGTGTGTGCCACGTGCAGCACGGCAACGAGAGAGAGTGCTGTTTGAAGGGGCCCCCTTAGGGAGGTTTCCTACTGTCATTGAAAAATGTGCACATTTTAAGCCACTACTGGGGTTTGTATGTCTGCCCTTTGGCCCCCTACTGGTCTGCAGCCCCAACAAGTTGCCTGCCTTGCCTATTGTAAAAGATGACCTCTGGGTCCACCCTATGTCGTCTCCATTCAGTCCAGAATGCTGCTGCTCGAGTACTCACCAGGTCAAACAAACGACCTCACATTACTCCCATACTGAACTCTCTGCACTGGCTTCCTGTGCTTCTCACCCTCACTTTCAGACCCCTTCACAGTCGGGCCCCAGAATATTTTTTCAGAACTCATTCACTCGTATTCACCAACTTGTTCACTAAGGTCCAAAGCCCCACACCTGCTCTCTGTCCCACAGACACATTTTAACACTCGTTGTGATTGTGCGTTTGAGGCTATTGCACCAATCCTTTGGAATTCCCTGCCCATCTCGTTACATTTTCTGAATCTGTTGAGTCTTTCAAAAAGCAACTGAAAACATTTATGTTTCGACAGGCCTATTGGTAATCACGTCCACCCAGTCTACATGTTGATCTATGTTTTACTGTGCCAATTATTGTTCCTGGTCATCGCAGGATTTCATAATGTCGGTCCATGACAACCCAGTCTCATGTCAAAATGTGTAATGCCTACGTTGGTCCACAGCGCAAAACGTAGTGGTTTCACAATAAGGGCTCTAAAATTGGGACATGCCTACGTTTCCTTTTGCCTATTCTTTTGTATAGGCATACCTCAGGTCACATGACTGCCCAATTTTCCCCTGGCGAAAAAATAAAACATGGCGGACATCCCTTCTATTTTCGGCGGAAAATGCAATATTTTAAGATAGTTTGAGGCTTAAGTGTCGTTTTGATAACCTTTCTGGCGACAAATGTACATTGTATCTTCATAATCTTCGTTCGGTTTATGTTTATGATCTTTAGTTTGTTCGTTCCTACAAAGATTCTTTCAGGTCTCGATAGAGAAACGTTGGACTGTTTTCTACTGTTGCTATGGTGATTGCTATGGAAGCTATTAACAACGAACCGGAAGGAAGTGGACGTTCGGTTCGCGGCTCTTTTTTTGACTGCTTTGGCTCTTTCCCATTCAAATCCTCCATTGATTTTTCACAAAATCCTTATATCAAGAGATTGGCGCCTGGGACCAAGACAACAAACTACCCCAACACTCGTGGCTATAGTACATTCAATTCGGCACCAAAACAGCGTAAAAAACGTAAACAAAGGTATAGGTTCAAGACTGTGTACATCATTTTCGTCTGGAGTCAAGGAACTACCCATCCCACAATCCATTGCGAATGATATCATTTATTCAGTCTTTCAGGTCTCGCCAGAAAAAACGTTGGAATGTTACGTTTTCTACTGTTGCTATGGTGGTTGCTTTGGACGCTATCAACAACGAACCGGAAGGAAGTGGACGTTCGGTTCGCGGCTCTTTACAGTCTATGCTTAAAACGGGTTACATCAGACCCTAGACATCAAACTAAGCTTCTATGCAATAAATAATGATTTCTATTACATTTTTATGGATGTCTTTCATTACAACCAAATTTAATAAAACGATTGGAACAGATCGATGCATATTAGCAACATTATAAACTATAAAATGTAACAATACATAAAGACAATACTGTACAGTTTGTGTGATTTATATGATTTTATTTACCAAAATAATCCTGACAGATTAATACTATCTTTTAAAACAGGTTTGATTTGACCACTTTTTTACAATATATATAGTCTAGATTATTTTACAAAACCCATTCGGCTTTGGTAAATATTTGATAAAGTGGGTAGATATACATTTTTCACAACCCTAATTATGTTCCCTCTGTGCATAACGCCAGACATAACTACCAAAATTCCCATTTCTAGAATAATCAAAATGATTACTATTTGCAATAGTCAAAATATCCGAAATGAACAGATATATGTACTTTATTTCAACATAGATCATATATGAACTATGC